ATTGTGAAATGATTATTACTCTGTGATTACGATTTGAGCATGATGCATTAATTGGGAATTGGTGAGAGTTTTGTCTGTTACTACCATGTGGTAAGGCCTCCATTAATGCATGATGGTTGGCTTAGTACGTCCCCCATAGTGAGGGATAGGCCGGCTTCGGCTCCTGAAAATCCCCCAAAGTGAGGGATTTGGTTAAGGGGATTTGCATCATTTCACTCGCATGATTTATTGTGGCTATCTTGTTATTATATTACTTGTGAACTGCCCCACTTGACACCTCACGAGCACCTATATAGTAGTACCTAGTATTGGAAAGGTTGGTTACTGGGACTTAGTCTCACCCCGTGGTTTACAATGTTTTCAGGTGAAGGTTCCGGGCGTGGGCCATCGGGAAGAGACGCAGAGGCTTGAGCTCGGTTAGCTTTAGGCCTCTAGCATTTGTATATGTATGACTAGTATATATTGCCACATTTAGGACTGCTTTTTGATATATTTGATTACCCGGCCTTGTTGTAAACTGGAGAGAATGTATCTCCTTATTTTGGTTGGCCGGAGGCCATTGCTAGTGTTTGATGAACTCTGGATTATATGGTTGAAAACTATTTAGATGGGCTGATCTTGATGTATGTGTTACCCGGGCCGGAGGCTCGGAGGCCCAATGGATATGAATGGATTATTTTAGTTGCATGCAACGTCTTACGGGTTGACCCGAGCTTGAAAGTCAATTTCTAAAAATATGAAATTTTCCTTCTGCTATGGTAGCTCGTTTTAACAGCTCTCCTTTTCTACCATAGTAGAGGTTTTATGATGGGTTAAAATGTCTTGAGGTAGAGGGTTTTTACAAGTATCATAGGAATTTTCTTAGAATTTTATTCTCCTTAAAAATATTTATTTGGAATTTTCCAAATAAAAGCCCTTAAATTAGGCTAAATTACCCTAAAATTCCTTTGTAATTTCTCTAAGGGTAATTTGGTCATAAAACCAATTTTATAATCCTACATAATTCTCAAAGGATATTATCCTTATTTTTTCTTAATTTTCTAAGACTTGGAAATATTTTTCCCATAATTATTTTTTGACCAATTGTCCTTAATTAGCCAAATTTTCATAATCGGCTTAAACAATCATAATAATCATTTCCACCAAAATTCTTCTATTTCTCCTTGTCATTTTTTACCCTTAATTATTTACGTATATTCCTTATTCCTAATTACCTTATTGCCAGATATGACATTTCTCCCCTCTAAATAAATTTCGTCCTCGATCTTATTGGAAAAGTTTGGGATACTTTTCCTTTATCTCAGCCTCCATCTCCAACGTAACTTCTTCTGGTGTAAGACCTTTCCAGACAACCTCGACCAGCAGAATCTACTTGTTTCTTTAGCTGCTTGACCTTTTGATCCATGATTCGCTCTGGTCTGACCTCAAAAGGCAGATTGTCTCGGGGCACAATGTCATCATAGCTTATGACATGTGTCAGGTCTAAATGGTATTTTTGTAATTAGGAGTCATAGAAGACATCATGAATCCGACTTAAATTCAGGGGAAGGGCCAACTTGTAAGCTACTGGTCCAACCTTGGACAAAATTTGAAACGGTCCAACATACTTTGGACTCAATTTCTTAATCTTTATGGATTGACCAACTTTCGTTATTGGTGACACTTTGAGGAAAAACATGGTCCCCAATCTCAACTCTAACGGTCTCATTCTAGTATATACGTAGCTCTTCTGTCTACCTTGAACTGTTAGGAGTCTTTATTGAACCTTAACTTACTGGGAGGTCTAGTCCACTACATTAGGACCATAAATACTTCTTTTACTAAGCTTTGTCCAGCATAAGGGTGATCTATACTTCCTCCCGTAGAGTGCTTCATATGGCCCCATTTGGGTACTTGAATGGAAACTATGATTGCAGGTGCATTTGGCTAACGGTAAGTATGTATCCCAGTTACTGCCAAAATTAGCATACATGCTAGTAGCATATCTTCTAACATCTGTATCGTTCTTTATGTCTGCCCATCCCTCTGTGGATGGTAAGTTGTACTAAATTTGAGAGTAGTGTCCATTTCTTTCAGTAAGGACCTCCTAAAACTTCGAGTAAATTTCGGGCCTTGGTCTGAAACAATACTGCTTGGGACACTAAGTAGCATAATAGCTTCCTTAACTTTATCTTCCACTTTTGCTGGATTTAGTGATTCTTGCCAAAATAGCTAATATTTCTGGCCTTTGCATACTCTTACCATGCTTCTCAGGGTCACCCTTCCTTGGGCTACTCTTGCTTAAGCACGCTTAATTGAACAGTGTTGATGGGAAACTAAGGTAATGATTCTGATAGGCTTAAACCCTGATACTTTACCGTCTTAGACCCTTCTCGATCTATCCTTAGTCAGGTCTTTTCAGCTTACATCCTTGACTCTAGCCTCATCTTATGGATCCACCCATCAATATTCAGTCTGTCTCTATATCACAAAGGGTTCTTCCTGTATCTAGAGCTAGCCTAAATGTCTCTTTTTCAGGTCTTATGGCTCTAATCCTTTTAACTTTGGCTTTCCTCTGTTAATTGGAAGAAAATTGAGCCTAGCCTAATCAATAATAGGTTATCTAAAAGGAAGTCATGGGTACTCTCTCTGTGCTAGTTTACCACTGAAGGAGGTTTCTGTATCTTAAACTCATCCCTAGTTTTTATCTTCCAAAAGAAGTACTATACTCTTACTCTTATGACTCAGCTACTTTCCCTTAGACTTGGTCTACCGTGACCTCAGGAGCTACTACGCTCTACCGTAAGCCTCTTCAGGATCCATGGTGACTGTGAAATACTATCATCTATCTGAACCATATTAAGATCTCTGGGAGACTTTGACTATAGGACTAAGTAAAGTCACCTCCTCTCAGTTCGTCACCTAACTGATAATTCCCTAAGACTGTTCCAAGAACCAATACTATTCTTTTAGGCCTCGTGTCAATTCCCCAGGCCACCTATTTGTCTCTTTAGGTGTCTAAGCCAATCTACCTTAGGAGTTCTCTTATTTCTCTAGCTGCTCTTACTGTCTCTTACTATTTTAGAATGGTACAGAGAGAGGACTTATGCAACTTCTCTTTCCTCTAATTCACTTTTCAGTAGAAGCATACTCTAACATGCATAATGCCTGGCACTCTAAATACAAGGAGTGCGGCTCTTACAGGTTGTTATGTCGGTAGCGTGCCATCCGGACATCTTATCCCCATAAGGGGAGCCTCTCTTTTTGTTTGTAGTTGATTCAGGAAGTCATAGTGAGACGACTTATAAGGTTCTTCTTCTTTCTGTTTGCTCTAGTACTCTGCTAAGCTCAGGTACCTCTAAGCCTAGCTTCGTTCTTGGCTGGTCATACTTCTATTGGGTAAGGTCAACTCCGCTTGTTTTGCCTCGACTGCTTCTCTTTCCTACTCGGACAGGGTATCTTGCTCCATCAAGCGCAATATCAATTCTGACTCGGAGGATTAATCTCACTTTCTCTAGGAAGATTCCTGGCCAAGGCCTTATCCCTTGATAAAGGGTGCCTCTCAACCTAACCCTAAGTGACTGAGTATTCTTAACATCATTGGAACATGCCAACCTCTTAAGCTAGTTCCCTGCACAGCCATCTGTCTCGTCCTCTTCTTCTTGATTCTTAAGACATTTCACTAGGGCTCTCCATCTTAACTTCACTATCTCAAAGTTCCTATTCATCTATTCTAGGACTTCAGATAGCTACTCTATCATGGTCCCGTAGCCTTAACAAGGCTGTAAGAGTTTGTCTAGCTTAGGTTGCCGCTACACCTTCTTAGTGGTGTATAGACTCAACCCCTAACCATTTTGTTTAACTCCTCATCATTACTCTTTTTTTTAAGGGGGAATCTAATAACTTTAAATAGTGGCTACCCCTCTCTTTCTGACCTTTACTAATTGTACTTCTTGCGACTTTTGATAGTCATTACGTCTCGCTGAGTTACAGTCTCAACATCTGAAAGTTGTTGTGTTCATCTGTCAGGACTAGAATCCTAGTTTGTAGTGATGAAAGTGACCACCTCCTTTGGTAATCACTCTATATTCGTTCATCACCACTAATTCCCTTGGTTTCTCATGATGAAATGCACTTTTCTCTTAACCTCTGCTGGTCTTACGTAGCTTTATTCATCATACCATTGCTCGTCTAGGCTTTCGTTATGAAGTTTAACTTAACTCCTGGATTCTACTTCATTTTTCTTAGGGGTAGGATCAAGATTTTGTCCTTGCCATTATGGGATGACAACCAATTCAATCCAATTACCACATCAACTTCATGGAAGGCATACATATCAAGTCTAAGGTAGTATAACAGTGCTCATAACCAACTATACAGTTTAAGCACACATTAGATGTAATTACCTTATTATGTGTTGGGGTGGACACTACATGTCATAAGGCAATGTGTTTATAACCAAACCAAGTCTTTTAGAACAATCATACGAGAGAAGAAAATGACTAGCACCCGAATTATACATTGCAATTACTGGGAAGTTGTTAATATGATCATACCTTGGATCATTTCTGGTGACATCTGGGTTTCTTTCCCTGTGATGGCAAATACTCGTCCTTGGGTACGCAACCTTGCCTTCTCTGAATTCTGCAGGCATTTTCTCGAGAAGTGTTCAGGCTTACTGCAAGTATAGCAGACATCCTGTACGACCCTACAGGGTCTGTTACCATGATTCTTGTCACAATTAGGCATTCTTTGCCATTTGAGGACTCGCCTTCCTTCTTACTCTTTTGGTTGTCCATTAGCCTCTTCCTCTTCCCATTCGCATTAGAAGAGGTGCCACTCTGATCTTCTTCTCTGACTTGGGAGTAGACTTAACCATCAGATGATGGTTCAAGCTGTTCTCCGTGATTCGGCAGGCCTCAATTGCCTTGTTGAAGTGCTCGACTGCTTAAGAGCCATCATCTCCTTAAGGACTACTTCAGTCCTCTGACCATCTTTTCCGTCATCCACCTCTCATCATCTCAGTAACGCAGATAACTGAAGTAGTAGGAGAGACGGATAAACTTAGCTAAATACTCGTCAAATGGCTCATTATCCTTCTGCTCTAGGGTCAGGAATTCCGCTTCCCTTTCATCCCTCATTGACCTCGGAAAATATTTCTCATGGAATTGCTCCAGGAACACTTCCCGTGTCACCCTCGTGTTCTGAGCATCCAGAATAAGTTTTGTATTCTTCCACCAGCAGTCTACATCTTTCTCTAACTTGTAAATTGCCATCTGGGCTTTCCACCCTGTCGGGTAATCTATTACTTTAAAGATCTTCTCCAAGCGGTTAATCCAGTCTTCTGCAGCTTGGACGTCAAACACTCCGTCGAATGACGGCAGGTTGTGTTTACAGAAATGTGCCATCCATTACTGGATACTGTTAGGGTCTTCTACTGGCATTGCTGGTCTAAGCAGTTATTCTGATGCTTGAGCCATAAAAACTTCTTCTTCTGGCTGCCTCCTATCGTGGTTAGCCACTTCCGCTGCTATTGTTGCAACTATTATAGTATCTCTTTCTTGTTCCTCGAAAGCTTGGGCTGCCCTCATCCCTTTAATAGCCTTTTGTTGCTGTTCTAAGCAATCTAAAATTAATCACAACAGATCAGGAGGGACCCTTGCGTCATGTTCTGAGGGTCACTCCAGCGAAGCATTTCATCAGGTTCTAACCATTACACTAACTAAATATCTGAGGAACAAGAAATAAACAACATGCTTGGATTTCATTTAACAACATATACATTCATAATACAGCATTCAGGCATCAATCATCAGTCATAGCAATATAGTTCAACATACATAACAATCAAACATGCCAGACTAACCTACTATGGTTAGCTGTACCAAAACAAGTCCTACATCAGTGTTACGAGGATCTGACTATCTAAAAATAGTGAATCTTAACAAAGTTTTTAAGGTGCTAGATGTAATCCTCAACACCTAAATTTACTATCTGATTGAGGTGACAGAACTCATGTACCCATAAGGGTAAATATGGGAGCATGTCCGTCATCGTATAGACCCAGTCCTTGGTGTCTATATAAGGGTTACCCGGTTCATGAGTTTGATATAACACCTTTACTCCCTGAAGGTAATCTAGATAAATGTTTGGGTCTTACTGATCCTCATCTTTCTTGATATGTTGACCCAAGAATTCTAACTTCTCTCTTAGCTGATCCTGACTACGAATCTTAGGCTCCGTCAGAACAGGGATATGTACTGTGGGTGTTGGGGGTATCCTTGGCTTGGTACTAGGTCCGAGGATGTCGCTTGGGCGTACACTTAGGGTAACAGGTTGCCTGTGAGACTGAATGTAGAGACTAAGGTCCACTGGTTTCTGATACAAACCAGTTACGGGATCCACCGGGTCACCGAGTCCAGGAAGGTTCATTAAATCCTCCATTGTAACCCCTAAAAGGTTAGCCTAATGCTCTGGATAATTGTTGGACCCCCTTTGTTGAGTATCCTAGGCTAGTAGTCCCTTTAGTCCATCCCCCTGGATCCTCTTTTATGAGATCGGTCATGTTAACATGCCAATCATTGATCAACTTCTCAGATTTAGCGTCCCAATCCATTGTGTTTTCCATCTCAATTCTTGCAAAGGTTTGTCAGTTTCTCCTCAACCACCCCCTTATTTAATGCATAAACTTAAGTAGAGCGTTCTATCCTATGCCAAAACCTTCACTCTATACCAAAAATGTTACACCCTACTACTAAAGCGACTTAGAGTTCAATTAGAACTATTTTAGACCACATTGGATGGTCTTGGGCTCAAAAATCCATGAAAAACGCTGATTTTTGATTTTTACTGTTCATCGAGTAAAAATCTAGTTTTTTGGTCCAAATTCAAAAATTCATAATTTAATCTAGAAAAATCAAAATGGACTTGTTCAAAATTCTATAGAAATCTCTTTGAATGTTCTTCCAGGAAAAAATAATCTTATAAACCAATTCCATTTGAATAAGTGTCAGGTTTTTGTGAAATTCACCTCTGTCCTTTTGGTAAAAACTATTTTTCTAGATTCTAGACATTAACTTTGAAAATATTAAAAAATCGTATAGTTGGCCATTTTTAAAGTGTTTCCTATTGATTTGAAGCTCATGATGTGAACTTTAAGCATACCAAATTTTGTGATGAAATTCGTTCGGGAACTTAATAAAAACGTGGCTCTAATTTGGCATCCTGCTTAGGGATTACAGCACCAACCATACATACATATACATAACCAAATATAATTATTTCCTCTTGGTTCATCACCCTATTTATCCTTAGATTTGTAACCTCCCTTTTGATGATTCAGTCCCTAAAATGTTAGGTTACATATAGGGAATGAGATTTCAATGAAATCCTAGTAGTAAGATCAATCATCCAAAACATCAACATGCATCAATTACAAACATTCCAACCTTTTGCTATTAATAGGGAACTACTTTACCTCATACATGTAACACTCTCACATGCAATAGCCAAGGCACTTAAACCAAGAGTATAGCTACACAATCATCATCATCATCATCTAGCTCAACCACATAATAGCACATGAAATTGCATGACAGTCAATGTAATGCTCAACATTAAGGTTAATTAAATCTTACTATCTTAATCCAAATGCTCTTGATTCTTTGACCTTCTTCCTCTTCTCCACAATTAATAAACCCTAATCATGATATATCACAAAAAGGATAGCAAGGTTACTAACCATTCCATATAAAATTAACAACATAATTCAAGTAACTCCTAAACCCCTTAAAGCTTCCATCTTTGTTCTTAGAATTTTTAGAGTTTATTCCCTTAACCCTAAAAAGTCCTTCTTGGATCATCCTACGTGATTTTTCATGTAGATTCCAAATATCTACTTGGATTTAAGAAAATAAAACGCCCTCTTCTAGTTTCAGCTTGGCCGAACCATTATGGTTTATTTTCTAAAAATTACAACTTTAGCTTTAATGCTTCCAACCTTTTTTCTTTAGATTTATCCTACACCATTTTCTATTTGGAGCACAATAGAAGCATCAAAACATTGAAAAACTCATCCTAGGGTCTAGTTCTTGCTTTGGCCAAAATTGTCCTTATACAACACAACAAAAAATACACTTCAAAATCAACCTACAACCACTTGTAACCACTAGGATCTATCATGCTTTGAAGTGTTCTAGCAAGTTGGACCAACAAAACTTCTTCCCCTACCATATATACATTTCGGCAAGCACAAGAAGAAGGGGAAAATCATAAATTTCTAGCCATACAACTCAAGTAAACAAAGCAAGGCACAACTTAGAACCAAAAACTAACCTTAAACCTTGCTTGGATGATCAAAGATGATGGCTTTCTCCTTGATTCCACTTTAAGCACTCTCCTTTCCCTCTTGTTTCTTCCTTGGCCAAATTAGTGATCTGATTTAGGGAGAGGAAGAGCTCAATTAATGTACTAAAATATCCCAACCACCATCATAAATGAAAAGCCAAGTGTCACCTTCCTACTTAATCTTGAAACTTCTCTCTTAATTAAGTAAATCATAATGTAATTAAATTCCAAAGTCAAGATCCTCTCCACTTAATACTTGACACTTGAAAAGCTTTAATTACTCTCTAATAGAGGCTTGACAAGTGGCAACTTGTGGGCCAAGTAAAGTGCAAGACTCTAGTCTTCACTTTATCGGTGCACTTTTACTCTGAGTTTAATTTCTTTTCTATAATTACAGTATTCTGGCCTCTGTAATTATTTTCTATCAGATCCATAAATTATTCTCCTCATTTTTCTCTTCCCAAATTGCCCTCTTTGTCTCAATTAATTTCCTAGTAATTAACTAAAAATCTCTTATAATTCCATAATATCTTATAATTCCTTAAGGTATCATAGGGATTTTCTTAGAATTTTATTCTCCCTAAAAATATTTATTTGGAATTTTCCAGATAAAAGCCCTTAAATTCGGCTAAATTACCCTTAAATTCCTTTGTAATTTCTCTAAGGGTAATTTGGTCATAAAACTAATTTTATAATCCCACATAATTCTCAAAAGATATTATCCTTATTTTTTCTTAATTTTCCAAGACTTAGAAATATTTTCCCCATAATTATTTTTTGACCAATTTTCCTTGATTAGCCAAATTTTCATAATTGGTTTAGAAAATCATAATAATCATTTCTACCAAAATTCTTCTATTTCTCCTTGTCATTTTTTACCCTTAATTATTTAGGAATATTCCTTATTCCTAATTATCCTATTACTGGATGTGATATTTTAAACACTTTTTCTTGGTGTTTCCCTACAAAAAAACATCTTTTAAACTTATTAGAATCATCAAATGATATTGAAACAATCTCTAGCTTCAAGAACTTGAGTTGGCCAAATTTAAGACAGCTTAGGGTTAGAATTTTTATTTTTGATTCAAATACTTTCAAACACTTTTTCTTGACATATTCCCACATAAAAACACATTCTAAACCCATTAGAATCATTAAATTAAATTGAAACAATTTCTAGGGAACTTGAAGTTTCTTCCAAAAATCAATCCAAACATCAACCAAACAAGCTATTCCGAACTCATATTCATGTTTTCTATCCTTCCTTAACCATTCCTCATTATTTTGAAATTTGAATAGCAACACACCTTGGAATTTTGCCACCAAACTCTACTTGAAACAAGCTAGAAACATAACCAAATTAAAGCTTGAACCTACCTTAATTGATCCTTGATTCTTGCTTGATAATTTTGACTTAAAATCTCCATGATAATGGCTCCCAAAGTCATCATTTTCTGTAGGCAAAAACTTTCCCCTTTTGAGTGTCTAAAAACCAAAATTGAAGGGTTGTGGGAAGGGTATATATAGGCAAAGTTTTGGTCCTCTCTTGCCTCCAAGTGTCCCTTAAAAATCTAGAGGAAGAGGCCATGTGGACTTCTTAAAATGCTGCAAAATTTTGGAAGTGTACAAGTGTCCCCTTGGGTAATAATGTTTAAGATAAAATCATGTGATATTTTGTATTATTTTATTTCATAACCATGTGTAGCACTTGGGTCATAAAATTACTATTCATTCTTAGCCCAAAATCAAGTCTAATAGGCTAGAGAAAGAAGGAATAAGTATCACCATTCATCTCCAAACATTGTTCTACCCAATTTCGCCATATCGGTGAAGGGAATTGAAAGACGACGCGCAGCGGAAAACAACACAAAATTTTAAAACTTTTCAATCCCTTGCCCGGATCTACCGATCGCGTTTAAGTCAGGTAGTAAGAAGTATTACCTTCGGTGTTCGGTTTTCGAGTGGCTTGGTGATTCCGCCGTTCAGGATGCCTCCGCTCGCCTCCTTTATCGTTCGAAGTCGACAACTCCGGTCGGCTTCCTCTACCAGTATCCACACGAGT